CAAAGTTGCTAACGCAATAAGCAAACTGACAAGCGTTTCGGTTCGAAGCACAGTTCAGAGTCAAGCATAATCTCGAAGCACGCGATTCATTTTGCAGAATATTTGAGCCTAGGACGAATAATTACTCACCTTTGGCGGATTCGCAACCGCAACTTCGTACTTGACACCGAGCTTCACAAAGCACTTATCATCTCTGGTCAGGTATCGTACATCCCTGACAGCCCGCTTAGAATAGTGAACAAAACGAGGCACCCTTGCGCCATCGGTAGATATCATGAATGGTTCCATGCGAAAAGTCTTGTAAGCATTCGACCACATCTTATACCTAAAACAATCAGTGCGTATTCACCTCAATTGACCAATGCTATAAAATGTAATGCATATCTGTAACTCGTGTTCGGGTCCACTGGCTGATTCGCTGCACTTGTCTGTTCATCAGTTAGTGAGGATTCATCTCCATTCTCATTCACTGCTTCTTGTGCAGCGTCACCCGCACGGTAAACTTGGACCGCAAGTGATTGATCCTCTTCATATGCCAAGGGCTCAGTTTTGACCTTTACTTCAGACTTTCCTTCTATAGCTTGAGTATCACCAGACTCCTGCGGTGTAACAGACTGAGCTTCATTCTTGTTGAAAAGTGGTTCATCTTCAGCGATGCATAAACCGTCATTAGCAGAGCTGTTATCGGTATCAGCAGACAGGTGTTCGCTGGGGACCTCGACGTTATCTTCAAACAATGGCAAGTCATCCGTTCCATCTTGATTCTCAAACTGCTCGCGAGCGTACTGCGAAGACAACACCTTTGGCTCCGCACTTACAGGCAAATTAGAAGGTGACGTTGAATCGGATGTGCGAAACGCATCAGGAGGAATCTACATGCATATGAATATGAGCACTTGCAACTAACCAGGACTGTTTTTTAAGGTGAATTTGTCACTCACCTCTTCGTCCGAAGCAACGCGCTCGCCAGTACGCCTTCCTGCACGTGGACGCACCTTTTTCGGCTAGAAACAAAATAGTAAATAACCTGTGCGTGGAGAACATCATAAACAAGCTGATATATCCACTGCTGACACTGCTGCAAATGCTCTACCGCTGCCTTTCACGATTTTGAAACAACGCGTGAGGAAGCGGATGAGCTGCATGTGGAAGTACTGATACGAACTCTACTTGAATACAGACTATGACAGTTATATTCAAATAGATACCCGGCTCTGTGACGATCTTCGACGTGCCAATCTTGCCGTTTGCTCGTGATCACTTTTGCCAACATCGTTTGAGGAAACGGAGTTGTGAAATGTGCTGTAGTCGCTATCTTCACATTCAGTCTTTATAACCTGAAATTTAAGCAATAATAATTTCAGGTTACTCTGATGTACACTGTTTCTATTTTGCGAAAGAGTATGATTCACGCATAAAGCAGACGTATTACAAAAAACAGAAGCACGGCGATTTTATATCGTCTTTCTAACGATACAAAAGCACTCAACACCTCTATTTCTTGTAAGCAAGAAGATGTACTGCAGTTTGACAACCTCCAATTACTTCATCTGCTTTGCAACCGAAAAACACTCTGGCCTGATCACGAAGACAAAGTAACTGGATAAGGTAAACATGTTCGGACGAACAGAAATCGCCTGCCTTCACTGGGGCTTGCTGCAAATTCTCCCTATTCTCGACCACTGAAGGCATCATTGCTTGAAAGTGTGGTTCATCACTACTCTCCTCTTTTTTGACGATGCATAGTCCATTCACCAAAGGACTTGGATCTTTCGATCTCTGCGCGAAGCAGTAGATGGAGCTAAGAAGCATGATTTCGAGAGATCTACTTACGGTGTGCATGAAAGGAGAAAGCAGAATTTTATCATCATCGTCATACACCGGCCAGTAGCGACTTGGGCGAACTCTTTGTGGTGAAGCACTTTTGGTAGCTCGAACACGATTATGGCGGCGAATAGAGGAGCCAGGAGGAGCAGAGTATCGAGAACGATCCCCTGACATAATAGAAACGTGATAACGCTGAAAATCAAACAGAAAAATTGACTTACTCCCAAAATTACGACGAGGAACAACGGCATTATGCTGAAAATAAATAGTATAGAGACAATTAAAAATTCGACAAATTTTACCATATTCCAAAGCATGAGGGAAATTAGGGATATGCATAGATTACGGGAAAAATCAGAACGAGAACTGCTGCTTACCTTAGCTGCACTACAGGTTGATTTACACGCGCTTCTCAAGTATATGGTACCTGAAATTTTTACACCATACTGAATAGGAAAACAACATCGTTGACCCTACTTACAGGTTACTGGAGTGCCTTGGCGCCTCACATACGATGTCTTCACCACAGGTTCGCCACGTCTTTGCTTTTCTAGAAAAAAAAGAAGAACAATGAGAGACTCCAGATCAAGTGAAAGCATACTTTTCCAGATGTGGTGAGTCACAAAAGCCTCCACATTTCCATCAGCTTCACCAAATGTTTCAACACTTCTACTCGGCCAAGTTGCCATAGCATTCATGCTGTTCTCAACTTTCTCGTTCTTCGAAAGTGAGCAGTTGAGATCTTCAACATGAACATCTCCATTAGTAGCAGGTTCACTGCCATTCCCGTTCACAAAACTCGATGAGACAATGCTTGGCCTTCTATTTTCAACAAGATGGCTTTCATCTGAAACATTCTCAACGATAAATTAATGTGTCACCGACAAATGAAATACAAACCAATCATGTAAGCAACGTTGCAATCATGCGACACACGACGCTTCTTCGTTTTCTAAAGAAATGCTGTGAAAAGTGATGTGAAATATGTATGACGGACCTTGGTCTTCTTATGAACCTTCCTATCCGACGGTTCATTCCCTTCGGAGGTCCTCCTATCCGACAACCTACTAGTACCTTCAGAGGTTTCGGAGCAAGTGGCCGTAGCATTTTCAACCACTTCATATTCATCATCAGCGAGACGATGGAAGCGTACTTTAAGCGGGAGGCGACCCGTTGCATTTTTCTAAAAATTTAGCTCATCTACTGCTATAGATTCCCAGTTTGCAAACAACAGCAAACGCATAGTGAAATCAGTGAGATGAAGTGACCAACCGCTTCACATCTCGATGACGATGGAGATGAAGCATCGGTTGGAGAAAACGACCACCTTTCTGGCGACGCAGGAGGTGACTCCTTGATGGGATCGACAAGGTTGTTGGTACCACTATCAGAAGGGGGAGTTTTCGAGCTGCCTTCCGTTACCCTGAAACATATAGCAAAGGTCTTGATGTAAGATGAAGTTGTTCTTTAACCAGGTTTTTGTATCAAGTAGCCGCACAAAAGACTCACGAGTTCTGCGGCATAGAATCTTCGGCACGGGAACGCATGTGCATGATGTTCTTAACCTTCTGCACGATCTTCACCCTATACAAGAACAATCTGAATAGCCACTATAACATAATGACAAAGTTACCAGTCCTCCTCGGTTATCAGACTGGTAAGCGGAGGAAAAGGGCTAATGGTAGCTTTCAGAAGGATACTTCCATCACCGACGTTACTAGCACAAACTTGAGGCTGAACGCTGGTGCTTTGCACATATTCAGACAGCAGTTTATCTATAATTGGAAAAAGATAATTATGGAAAAGTCGCGAGGTAACTCAAAATCTCACTGTATGAGGTCACAGCTTCTGTGCCCATACGAGCTTCCTTCACGACTCCTTAAGAAAATGCTCTAAGTTTTATAATCGAAAGCGCGATACGTAAAAGACAATCAAGTAATCCAAAACATGTGCTCACCCTCGGCGTTCCCCTCGGGTGAATTCGAAAACGATTTCGATCGCATACGTCGAATGACTGCTTACCCTGAAGCTAAACGATCTGTCGAAAACCTATGACAGTAATTTCACGATGAACTCTAACGAACTGAGCAAAGAGGTAACGACATCCGCGCTGCCTTGCGCACACTTTTCTGAGAATGTTTTATGTAAAGGATCAAGATGTCATGACGATGTTCTCTGCTGCATACTTACAATGCATCAAGTTCCTATCTCACCTCCCTTTCACAGCGATGGCGAGCTCGCAAAAGATTGTGAACTCAAGCATACACTCGCTTTTTGTACACACATACAAGCAGTGCTTTGAGGATTGTCCTCATTACACTGCAGATCCCAGAACTTTTTGACAAGTTCTTCCAAACTTGAAACCCCCTCCTCGACCGCAACCACGCAAAAAATGAGGGGATTTTGCAGGAGGCATTATCGAAGGCAGACAATCTGCCCAGGACCTTGATCCGCGCGCCCATTGTCTTCCAATTGATCTATACGTAATCGTATTTGCAATCGTTACTGCACCTACTTGAACGGTTATGATGAGAAGTAGCAAACTGCCCATGTTTCATACAATTTGACATTGACTACTATACAAAACCCCAGTATGCCTCTTTCAAGTGGCAGAGAAAGCGGGTGGTTAGAGACGTAGAGTGAGGCTAACCGCCAGGAAGTCGCTGAGTTACGTAATCCAGATGGAATGTTTTTTTGAAGCGTTCGCTTCGGTATCCGATGAAACTACTGTCTCAACCAAGAGGCCGCTGTATTCCAAAGCTGCAAGATCTCATTGGAATTATCTTCGTTGCAGACGTTGGGGCCTATTGTGAAATTTGCTCTTGGCATGTCTAGATTTCGTTCAAGTTTTGGCGAGTTAGCAACTTTCTGCTTGCTTTTTAACATAGAACCTCTTCAGTAAAATAGTGCTCAGGGTTCAGAATTCCACGCTATAGATTGACAGTGCATCGAGCGCTGAATTCTTGCACAGACAGCATTGATTTTGAGCATTTAGATGCAGTTATCAGCTT